ATGAGAAAGTCTGAGCTCTGTTGCCACTCGATGGAGAAACACGAGGGAACCACAGTGTTGTGCTGGCACAGTCCGGACCCACACTTAGGTCCCTGTGCCCTCTAATAGGAACTTGACTGAGACAAGCTTCTCAAAGGATTTCCCTCGTAACAGCAACTCCAGTAAATTGGGTGTGGGGGGGTTGTGGTACTTTGTTTTTTTTTTAACCTAAAGCATCAGCAGACTCTGAACCAAGGGGATTGGTTTTTGTAAGTTTGAGATTAAACAGAGATGGCAGTTTGGACATACTAAGGAATTTTTTTAAATAAGGGCATTTTCATTGTTTGCTGTTACTAGTTTCCCCTAAGAGGGGATGGTGTTACCATATGTGAGAACAACTTGGGCTAGAAATCTCGCATCTGTTTTATCTACTTGCTCTTGCTGTGAACTAGTGCGTTTGATTAAAGTTCTTAAGCTGTACGCTTACTGCTGGAGCTCTTCTGTTTGAAGTGTTAGGAGTCTGAAAACTTCATTGGCTACTTTAAATCTTATGTACTTAAACCCTGCAAGGAAGTTATTTTTGTTGGCCATTTCTCAAGCACTAGCAATCTGCTTGGTGATGTGTGAGATGCTAATATCAGGAAACTTTCTTTCTCAAATAATTTGCACTAGAGAAGGAGCAGATTCAGTGAGACAGGGTGTAGCCCCGGGCCCCTGTCGTGAAGTCAACAGGAGATGTTTTCCTTCTCTTTAACCCAGGGTGGCTTTTTGTTTCACACTGAGGAGTTCTGGAAGAAGCGGGCTGTTGGATTGCATGTGGGCAGGGAGGTTAGGGTCGAGCATCAGACCACGCGAACTGCCTCCCTGAGTCAGACCAGGTGTCCATCTCGTCTCAGCCCCCGCTGCATGGTGGTGGCTGCTTGGAAAAAGGCTACGGATCATGCATGGCAGGCAGCAGTTTGGGCACTGTGTGTGCAGGGGGCTGGGGACCGTAGCCCTGGTGCTGCATGCCCCACGTGCCACATGGTGCTGAGCACCAGCACTGTGGTGGTGTCTGCAGCTCCGCAAGGGACAGATGACAGGTTAGGTCTGCTCTGAGTGTCCCAGAAGTCGCTGGGCTTGTCACTTCTCCAAATTTTGATATGCATGAAGGTTCTAAAAATACTGCATGTTCTCACAAAAAATAAAATAAAATAAAATAAAAATAATAATAAATTGAAAACTGTTAAGATTTGCTAAGGGTGCTCACCCTGACCGTGCCTAAAATCAAGGGAGTGTCCACTGAAGAGAGTACATACTCTTCCTATTTTAACCCACATGAATCTCACTTAACAACTTCCCCTGACAGACACTGTCTCTATAAATAAGTCCCCGTCACCTCCCCCGGGTACAGTAACACAGTACACTAGAGGTGTCAAACATACGGCCCATAGGCCAGATCAGCCCACATATGTACTCAGAGCTGACAGAATCTAATCTTTCATCTCAAGAAAACGAAGTCTCTAGACCTCAGAGTTTTGAAGGAGAAAAAAAAAAAAAATGCTTCTGAAAGGAATTGAATATAAGTTCAGGAACATCTGCTTGAAGCTGCGGGCAGCCAAGCACAGGGATGGACAGCAGGAATTTGTCATTGGCTTCATTGGGATGTCAGGGCTTTGGGAGGGTTATCAAGTCCTGCATTTTTTTCTCTGGCTGAGAGACCATAGTTCAATTTAGCACCTTAAAGAAAATATCAGTGTGCATTTATAGCGAGTTAACCACTTGTTCTCTACCTTTTGCCGACACAATTATCGAAAAGAATTCCCCTCCATGGTGCTTATTTCTCATTTCCCTTTTGCATCCCACTGATCTACAGACAAGATCAGAGACTGCTTCTGGGCTAATCCAGCCACAATCCTCAGGATCCAACCTCCTGGTCACCCTAATAACATTCCTGACTGCCTCTTTCGTCTTTCCTGAACATGAGTGGTGGTAAGAGCTTGCTGCATGGTTGATGAGGTCCCCTGGCCTTGAGCAGTGCTGTTACACTGCCTTATATCTGGGGGAATTACCTTACCTCGCCTGCTGTAGCGGACTCTCAAGGCCAGGTGCTGGTGGCTCACACACGTCCTGTGACCATCTCCAGCCCTTCTCAGCTGATGGGCTTCCAGGGCACAGCAGTGCTGCTGCGCTGAGTCCTTACGAGCTACAATTTGGCATGCTGTGCTGTTGAATCCCACCTCATTTCTCTCTCCAGACACCGAGCCCCTAACTGCCTGCTCATCCACTTCTCTGGACCAAAAATATCCACCCCATGCCCTCTTTTTCTCCAAACTCATTACGTTGATCCATCCATCAAAAAAATTAAAAAAGCATAGAAAGGATGTTTATGATTTTGTAAGTTGAGTAAATCAACTTTTTTTAAATCTTATTTATTTAATTTTGTCTTGTAAAATGTTAGTGGAAAATTGAATTGTTTTCTCTTGCAAATTTTATTTTATTTTATTTTATTGGGGGGGAAGGGTTGCCATCTTGACCTTTTTAGGTCAAGATATTGACTTAAAATATTACTTTGATATTACTTTGATAAAATCCAATGGTTCTCCTGGTACCCCCGCTAAATCAGGAGAAATCCCTTCATCTGGGGCCTGAGACACCACTCTCTGCCAAGCGCACTGCCCAAAAGCACATTCATTTGAAGTGAATTTGAAGCAGTGCGAAGAAGCCCAGTTATTAAGTTCTGCTCCTTGCTCCAGGCAAGTCTATTTTTTTCCTGATTGGGCCTCAAAGCTCGTTAAAGGGACTCTTTCTGCCTTCTTCCTTTCATGTACAAAATGGCTTTAGCTGCTCAGCGCTCTCGGTTCATTATTAAGCAGTGAGGGAGCCATGCTGTGCTCCTCCGGCTGTCTCGAGGGGCTCTGATGGTGTTTAAATGTGACTGCTGTTTATGTAAGCGGTACATTCCCATGCACGGCCATTTGGGGCACATGCAGCCTTTTCAGCTGTAAACCAGGAGAATCCAATTGGGGTGAAACTGGAAACCATTGCTCCTACAGTGAAAGCGCCATCGTAAAGCATTGACAGAAAGGTAGAGGCTGGGTCTCTTACTGTTCATTCTCATTTAGGAGACAGGCATTCAGCATTGCCTCACTCAAAACCTTACTGGGGAAAAATCATCAAGATAGATCTGTTTTCAACCACAATACTCAAGTTGCTTTCATTTATAAAGTCAGGTTATTTCTGCAAGAAGACTTTTGCATGAGGCATAGAGTGCAGGCCAATATACTGCGTTCATTGGGGCTGGGAAAACCAAAATGACTTTATTTTTTGACCCTTGAAAGTTTCTGATATCTCCATTTGGTTTGGATTTTCCCAATCTCCAACATGATGCTGTAGCTGAGTAGAGCATATGGTCCTAATAGATATTCAGTCCAGATGTTAGTTGTCTAATATGTATCCTGAACGGCTGCGCCGAGCAGCATATAAGGAAAGCTGGTGGAGCAGTTAAATAAGGAACATGCACATTCCAGTATTCTCACCAGTTTACTAAAGTTAAGAGTTCCAGATTGCAATACCTCCGGTTCTGTCACTTTGAATTTCTGGGAAATGTTAAGAGCATGAAACTCGCCGTGTGCTCTCGGAGCGGGCGGGGAACGGGCCCACCTGAAACCTGAGCGCAGTGGCAAGCCTGCACCACGGCCTGTCCTGCGTCACCTTGCCCTGCGGCTGGCTGCAGGGCTTCCATGGTGGCCAGTGGCTGTCCCCTGTGCTGCGGGAGCTGGGGCAGCAGGAGGGGCCTGGGAGGGGAAGCGGGCCGAGGTAAAAGCTGCCACCAAGTGAGGAAGGGAGAAAATATCCCCCCAGCACCTTCTGAGCCCAGGGGCTGGGCCCTGCTCTGCTTGAGCAGCAGCTGTGCGTGGTGAGGGTTTTAGTTCTGGCAGAGTGTGTGAAACTGGTTATGGACAGAGACGCAGCATTAATCCTGCTGCCGAGGGAAGGGCTGTGCTCCAAGAGGCAGCGCGAATGCCCCCCACCAGTGGGAAGAGCTTCAGTTGGAGCTCACATACTGCTCGGCACAAGAAAATCCCACCACAAATTAGAAAGCTGAGGAAGCCTTCATGTTTTCCCTGCTGCTCAGAGAGCTATTTATATTTTAGTGTTCGACATAGCACGTAAGCTGAGAGCAGACCTGCTTTTCTTCTCCCATGCTGTGCCGCCTTCGTCGTGCTGAGGTGGGGCAGGGGCTGCTGGGGAGCCTCGTGCTGCTGGAGACAGGCGTGAGCAAGGGGAGAGCTGAGAGCAGGGTGAGCACAGCCCACCTGGTTCACGGCAACTGGAAGGAGGCTGAGACATCTGGCGTGCCCCTCGTTCCCTCGTCTTTGGCTGGAGCTGAGGAGCGATAAATCTGTGTGATGCTTCACTACTTAGTTCTCTGGGCTAGACTTCAATTTAAGAATAGGGATGGGGCTATATCTGCTGGGTTCCTTTTAACAAATAAAATCTTTCTCTTTATCCTTCCTCTTCGTCAGGAAGATTCACTCCCTGTAAGAATCCCCCCATAAACTGTGACCAGGTGAGGGTCCTGACCTTACTCCTTGAGTCCTCTCAGCCCAAGCCTTGTTCTGATTTCAGTGGAAGCAGGACCCCACGCCAGCAGATAAGGCAAATTGCTTTATAGTTTTAACCTGCGAGTGCAGCTTACTCAGCAAGGAAATTAGCAGCTTCAAACACATGCACAGGTACACACAAACCCTCTTATTACTCAAGTAAACCTGAAAGTAGTTTGAGAGCTACAAGTTTATTGACTGGGAAGTCAATAAAAAGGATTAGCTTTTAAGATTAACAGTAAAACTTGATTGCTGCTTTCAGCAGCTAACCTAATAATTTCAGGAACAGAGACTCTGGGAGCTGTAGATCACACACAAAAACTTGGTGAACATCTTTGAAACGGAATGTTTTTTTACGCATGGATGGAAATAATTTAAGTCACATAAAGCAGCCTAGATATGCTCTCCTATGTGTGTTTTTTTTTCCTTGTCAAATAGAGAAGAGAAGACTTTGACCTTTTTAGGAACAAAAGGAAAGGGTTTTCTTTATGAGAAGTACTCTTTAGTGATTAAGTACAAGTGTCTCATTGTGTTAATTCTCAAGGTCTGTGCTTATTAACGTCCAATTGTTGATTGAAGGTATTGTCTGCAATTAATGCCCGTCAATGATGTTTAAATGTGATGATGATATTTCATCAGAAAAGGTAATATTGTTGATACACTGCAGCCCTGAGAAATCACCAGAGGGTTAAATGCCACACGGAGGTCAGCAGTCACATACAGATGCTGCTGGGTGCTATGCCAGACTCTCGCCCATCATTCCTGTTTGCTCACTAAGACTTTGCCAGCTCTATGGATGGTGGGTTTCTAGTTTGGGTTAGCCCGGGGAGGTGATGGAAGGGGTGCAAGAGGAACATGACAACAGAGCTAACCAGTCCCAATAGCAGTCTTCTGGTGGGACTGTTTGTTATGGTGGGAATTCTGGGGTAAACGTTCAAAACTCTCCAAATTCTTTCTCTGTGGCCTTTAGAGGAATCTATTTGACTTTTCTGTGGGGCTTTCACCTTTCTGCTTCACAGCTTTGGATGACTTCTTAACTTATGAGGCAATTTGAGGCAGTACTTACACTGAGCATGCTTGTGTTTCACCCAGTAGTGTAGCTGTGTGTCTTCCCTTTATTATATTAACATCGTGACTATGGTGCCCTGAATGCTGAAAGGAATTTGCTCTTCTCAGCTCCCTCAGCCTCAAGTGAAATCTTAGGTTTGAAGTGATCCTCTCCAAAAACCATCAGAGTGATGCAGAAGGGGCCTTGAATCCTCTTTTCAAGAGCAGTGACTGCTGCTTGGCTTGGAGAGATGCAGAAGAAATGCCTACTTTGCCAGCTATTACAGCAGATAGTCAAAGGCGGTGAGTGTGTATTCAGTAAAAGGAAGAGTTGTCTTCAACAGCTCCTCAGAGGAAAGGTAAAGAAAAAGAGAGCAAGAAGCAGGAATGAAATTGTAACTGAGGAAAAATAAATAATTTCAGTGCATATAGCATGCATATAGAAAACATAGTAGCTATATGTGTGTGTATTGGATTTTACTATTAGTTGGTTACTCAGGGTCATACCTGAAGCAAATCCTGTCTTACTGGAGCCAAGTAATTCCAGTGACCTGGCATTTGCTCCCAGGCTTGGACTTGGGGCAGGACTAATCCCTGGCAGTTCAGAGGGGAGTCTGCCTGCTTCCAGTGGGAAGGAGTAGTTGAAGGGGTCTAAGGCAGAGCAAGAAGGATCAGTGGACTGGAGCATCTGTGCCTGTGATGAGCCTTCTCATCCACCTTCACTGATGCTCTATGGAAATACACTTCCATCACTAGGAATCACTCCTCTCTGAGGACAGTTTGATATCCAAAGCTGTTGTCCATCTTAAAATAGGCTCTGACAGGTTCACTGCAAGGTGGATCTCTCCCATGGTGGGAAAAGATCTCTAGAAAATGATACAGAAATTACTGCATTTTTTCAGTTCTGAATGAATCCAGGTTTTCCAGTCAAGGTGCTATCACATTTCTGGCTCAGATTTGTACAGCCACACCTGACTTTAAATGCTTCAGGATTTGAGTGTTTAGTGTTCAGTCTCCAGCCTTCCAGGATGGCATGGCCTGTACCTTTGGGAAGTATATTGCTATGTTTTCATGTAGAAAAATAAAAGCTTTTGTCCTCTTGTCAGAAAAGTTTCCAATAGAGCATTCCACACAAAGCTGTGGCAACCTTTGAGCCATTAGGCAGCTCCACAAAAGTTTTCTGCTTTCATTTTCAGTAGGTCTGCAGGAAGAAAAAACAAGTTTCAGGTAATGTTCACTTGTGCTTCTCCAGAACTTAGCACTGAGATGTCAGTGAAAGACACTTCTGCAATTTAGTAAGTATTAAAATCTCATTTCTCACTGGGTGCCAATGGAGGTTTCCACCCTCATGCTAGTAGATCAGTCTTAGTGCAAACTGGTCTCTGCTTTCGTGGGCAAGCCATGTCAGTAGAACTGGGACACCATCAGCCTCGTGTCTTTAGAAGTCTTGCCCTGTTTGCACATTATGAGTGTACTAAGTGTGGCACTGAGGTCTCCCTTCCAGTGTCTGTGCTGTCTTTGACTGATTTGACCCACTTCCTTTGTGTTGTTCTGGATTTGGTCAGGTCTCTATTGACAGAAAGGTGCTCTTGGAGGCCTAATCTACATCTCCACACAGTCAGTAAAAGGGCTCTTGTTGAATTCAGTAGATGTTGGATGAGATCTTGAGTGTCTTTTACTCCATTATCTTTGGCGTCTACTGCATAGGGAGCACAGCTTGCAAGCATTCCAGAGCTTCTGAATTTGCCCAGCATCTGCATTCCAGATAACCAAGATGCTAACTTCTTAAAAAAATAAAAAAATAAAATAAAAAAAGGTGCCTATAAACCATCCTGGAAGTTTATGTTACATCAAAGTTCATAAGAATGTATAACTGTTTCATTCTGCTCCCAGTCTTTCATGCACAGTTCTAGGTTATCCTTTCTATTTTAGGAAAACCTTTTAACATGATTTGGGGTGACATAAAACAACTTTGCTGACAGTGTGACAAAGATAGTGCACTCTTTCAGAAAAATCATTGTGCCTATTTAAATATTAGGCTTCAGCTTGTTAGTGAAAAATGTGTCACACACAGCTTCTTTTTTTTTTTTTTTTTTTTTTTTTTGGTATGTGGGAAAATACAGTACAGATTTTGAAGTTTAAGAAATCTGGCAAATTACAAATTAGGATAATAATTCATGGGAGTAATAAAATATCAGACTTTTATTGCAGTATTGAGAAGGGCATTAAAAAGCATCTGGGAACTTGAGGTTTGGAAAGATGGGCTTTGAAAGACTTGGTGGGTTAAATATTAATGTAGAAAATATGGCATCTGTAAACGCCTGGAAATATGCTAATGGGGTTTGATTCAGCCAAGGATCAAGCGTTGCTCTGGGGTGCTGAGTGCCTCCAGGAGCTCCTGCTGACAAAGGGAGCTGAGGCACTGCAGCACCTCCTGAAAGCCTGCTGTGCCTGGGACCACTGTGCTCTGAACGAGTATCCCAGGGGCTCTCGGCATCGGCCAGGCAAGCCAAGGGAGACCTGACAAGGCGAGAGACCCCTGAGCAGCTGAGGTGCCCAAGCTGGGCCCCAGGTGGCCAGGACCTGTCTCATGCAGTACCAGCAAACATGGGGCCTGTGGGGCAGGACATTTGAGAAACCAGGCTGAAGGAGAAAAGAAGGCTGTTATCTCCCAGGCCATGTGGTCTGGTGCCCTCCGCTGCCAGGCTGGAGGTGATGCCACCACTGTTACCTCCAGCAAGCTGAAAGAATGGGGGCCAGAGAAGCTGCTTGCCCCCAGCATGGTGGGAACGTGAGACATTTTGCTTCTGGCACCAGCAGGGCTGGGAAAGGAGACCCTCACGTTCTCCCTGTGTCCTCTGACTTTGGGGAGTGGTTACAGTTGTCCTCCAATACAGCCGTGTTCTCTTTTTACCTTAATTCCACTCGCATTTTTCAGTCTGCTGTTTGTTTAGATGCTATAGTCTTAGGGGAACTGAAGTCCTCACTCATCAGCCTTTTATTGTTTGCGCTGAGGAAACCAGCCCTTGTTAGCAGTGGAAACCTCCAGAGGCATGCGCTTTTCATGCTGTTTTTCAGCATGGAGAACAGCCTTTCTGACTTACTGTCTTTCTGACGATACTATGAGTACTGGTAAACTCAGACGAGCCACCTTTCTGCTCAGCCACCACTTCCTACCTGTGGTGGGCTGTCCCAGATCCGTGTCCCTCTCAGCTGGCTGGCTCCAGCAGCAGCAGGTCACCAGGGCTGTGTTCCTTTGCTCTAAAAACACCTTCATGGTATTTATACTGTTATTTTTGATACCCTCCTCCTCTCTCTCTCCGCAGTCCAAGGTTGCCCTTAGATCACTGAAGGAGTTGTTGTACCGTATGCTGCGCATCATCTAGGAGCAGCAGCAGAGCTGTGGTGGTGCTCAGGGGTGGTGGGCCCTCCAGGATCTGCTGGCCATCAAGGAGCCTGTGGGGAATACCAGGCAACCCTCCCAAGATGCCAGCACCGTTGGTGCAAGGTAACGCAGGCCTCCAAGACTCCAGGGTCTTTGTTAGCACTTGTCAGGGAGCAGAGCGGTAAGGGGGTTGCGTATTGCATTTACTGAGACAGAATAAATACGCCTCAGCTTTCTGGCATTGATTTTTGACAAAGGATTCAAGAAGCTGCAGCTGTGCTGGCTTCCTCGTCCCCTCCCCCGCTTTATTACAATGCGTGTTGTTCTGAAATACTCAATTCAGCTATAAACAATCTACTCTATCAACAACATGCTTTTGCACTTTTTGAAATGGTGCTTTGAGGCAGATAAATGAAAGTAAGTATGGCAGCTTGCCAGTAAAAATCCTGCAAACTGTATCATCACAGGGGCACTGACAAAGACAGCACATTATTTTATTTACTGTGGAAACTGAAAATCCATTTCTGCCCATACAATAGCTGTTTATTTCATCTTTGCTTGATGTTTGTTCTAATCTTACTTGACACTTCTAGATAGTAATGGTTCACAAGCTGTTCAGATCAGTGCTCGCAGGGCTCCATCAGCCAGCACTTTTTGCATGTTTTAGAAGTCCGGCACCCTCTTTTCTGGCATGTGCCCTCTGGCCAAGAGCAAGAGGCTGGGCACAGGCACGGTACTGGGGAGGTCCTGCCAGTCTCTGTTGCAATCCCCTGGGTTCAGTTTGCACATGTACCTCTACTAGTCAAAATGTGCACAGGAGCCTCTCGTGAATGCCTTGCAGGAGACTGACCCGGACGAAGGAGCTCCTCGGTTTTTGAGTTTTTCTTCCTAGACACTTAGTCTGTCAGATGTTGACACTGACAGCTGTCTGGATGGCAGCACGCATCCCATATAAACAAAACTGATTTTGAAATGTGGAGAGAGGAGGTGACGGGGTGGCTGGTGTATTCCTGCTTCGGCCTGCTGGGCTCAGCCTGGTGCTGGCGATTTCTTAATCCCGGCAATGTGTCCTCTGGCGGCGTGGTGGCCCTTTCCCCAGCTCCCGCATTGGTGGAGCAGCTCCTCTGGCACCACTCATCACAATGGCTTGGAGACAGGAGAAAACCCGGCTGGGGAAGAATGCTGAAACCGTTTCAAAAACCTCTGGAGAGAAAATTAGTAATATTTTGTTTTCCTGAATGGTTTCATTGAAATTTAGGGAAAATAATTGCAGTTGAAAGATCTCAGCTTTTGTTGTTCTGTTCTTTATTATTTGTTTTTGCATCCTTTCTTCTCCCCCCCACTTTTTTTTTTTTTTTTTTTTTTTTTTTTTTTTTTTGTGGTGGGTGAGAGGGAGAATATTCCTGCTCCTTTCCTGCCTCTCCTTTGTTATCCTCTATTACGTTTGCCACCACAGAAAAAGTGGAAAGTAGGGAGAGGAAGGAAGAGAAGGAAATTTTCTTTTCTTAATTAAATTTTTCTAACTTTTCTTTTCCAGATCTGGTGAAAACAGTTTTTTTTGTTAACTTTCAGATCTTAATGATGGCCTTTTATGACCAAAAATAGCTGAAAATGATTCCAAGCAGATGTATTTAACTCCTGTTTGGTTACCTAGCTATTTCTGTGGAATCCAGCTTTCTCCTTTGACGTAGCCAGAAGCTCTGCCAGATACATTTTGCTCTGAGGAGTTCTCCCTTCTGCTCATCCACTATTACCCATCATGCTGAACAGCGAGGAAACTCCTGAAGACCCTTTCAATACTGTTCTGTTGGCCAGCTTAGATTGAACTTCCCCCTTTCATAAGCTTGTCCATGCTAATGCCTCTTCTTGTGTCCCATTTGTTAAAGCATAATGGTGTTTTTATGCAAGGACACGTTCTTTTCACAGATACTTTGTGATTCTCTATATTCTACATTCATGGTTACATGAGGAAGAAAACTCATATTGAAGGAGATGCACCAGAAGTGGAATAGCAGCCAGAGTCTCTGTATCCCAAAGCAGGGGAAGTACAGAACTTCATAGCACCTGGAAAACTTGCTGAATGGACAAAACCAGACACATTCAAAGCCACCACCCATGGTCCACAGACAGCAGCTACTTGGTGTTTATGGTAGAGAAGATGATTGCACCAGGCAGCTTAGATTCAAAAGCAGAGAGGCTGGTAACAGCCCTGTTGTACAAAGCCATTGCTCTAGGGAGGCAAAAACGTGGCTGTGGACAGGGAAAAAAGCTGTGTGTGTCATGAGACTGGAAGCTGGGCTGGGGAGAAGGGGAACCTCTAGCAGAGGAGGGGTGGCTGAAGAAGTGATAATAAGAATTATGCTTTCTGGAGAGACAGGTTCCTATAAATCTGTGGGCTCAGCTCTGCTTTTACCAATCTCTCTTAAATGTAATTTTCCATCTGGGAATAACCTGTAAGGTGAATGTACAGTATAGCTGAGGGCTTTCAAATGAATGTCAGGCAGATAGGTGGGTGTTGTTCTTCATTTTCTCAAATGCAGGATATACCTAGGTGCATGCATTTTTGTCTGTTTTATCTTACCTTGACTGTATTCAAAATAAACTAGAGCTGACAATTACACATATGCGATGTACACTTGAGACCTGCAGTTGTATTTGCAAATTAGCCTAGGGGACTGTGATGCATGTCTTTGATTAATTTTAGTGGTAAAGCATCCAAATCTCTTACACAGCCTTGCAATGCTCAGCTATAAACAACAGCCATACTTTATTTCAATGGTCCTTCTTACTTTGATTTCAGAAAGCATTTGTTGATCTCTGTTTTCAGCCTATCAAGCTTCAGAGCTAAAAGGAGCAGCCCTTCCTTTCTGTACAAACATTTTCCTGGAGAGTTTCTGATGGTGGAAGGTATGCACAATATTTTGGGTATACCCCAAAGCAAACTCAGGCAGGGAAGGGCTATTTTTCAGACCAAAGGGGCATCTCTTTGGCTGATGCTGTTCAATAGGCTCTGCAGGAAAGCCTGGAGAGGGTCTGCCCATCCTGGGTGCTGCTGGGGGTGGCAGCAAAGCAGGACAAAAAATAAAATAAAATCAGGAAAAGGAGGAGTGCCCTTTTAATATCGGTTAGCCTAGTCGTTACATAAGCTTGTTCTAAAACAACTAGTAGTGTATTGACCACTCCAGAGCCAGAATAAAGCTACTGTGTGCACACAACTGTTGTGACAACAAATACAAAATAATGGCACGAAAGTCTCTTGGTGACTGCAGCTTCTTTCATTCCAGAAAGCAAAGCAAGCTGTGCTAGGCGAGTGTCAGCTTGGAAGGAGGAGTCCTCCCCAGAGCAGCTCCCGCCCTGATGAGGTTCAAGCTGCTCTGGCTCAGGGTACGTTTGTTTTCAACCTGTGCTATGGATGAGTGGATTCAGAACTGGGGGAAAGCAGGCAGGAGGGGATAGGAAACAAGTATTAAGGAAATCCCACTAAAAATGACCCTGAGCCAGGAATGCCTTTGCTTCTTATTGAAAAGCAAATGTTTCAGAAGATGCTTCTTCTGGCCTCATATCATACATATAACAATGTTGTATCCTCCCAATTACTGATGGGATTCCCAGCTCCTTACAGAGGCTCAGAGATCTTGCAAGGAATGTGATCCTTGAAGACAAAAAGAAGTAGAAGAGCAGCAAATATTGCAAGGTGTCATGTGTGACAACCAAACAACATCACCTCTGCCCTTGCTGAGTGTCCCATGTCCCCTCAGATGAGAGCTGGTAAATGGCCACTGCCCATCTTTCTGTTTTCAAATATGCAGCAAACCACTTTCAGAAATTACTGTCATTAAATGTGCTCTTGATTCTGTTCCCTTTCATTTCTTCTTGCTTTCCATTCTCCATTGCTTGTATCTTGTCTGTATTGTGCACTGCCATATTAAGCAGCATGCATTCCACGGAACCCCATATCCTCTGTTTTCCAGTTGCTGCAGCCTGCAAGAAGCAGCGCCCATGGAGTGCTGCCATGTTGCATGTCGCGGAGCAGGACAGTGCTGGTACATGTCCCTGGGCTGGGTTGTCGAGAAGAGGCTAAGCACGATGCAGGAGCACCTCCAGGTGTTTCTCCAGGGAAGTCCTCCCCTGGGGCCTCCTCCATGCCCCGTTGGTGGTGTGAGGTGACCCTTGGCAAGGGCTGTGAGCAGGGGGACTGGCTGGCAGTCGCTGCAGGTGGGTGGGGAGGGTAGTTATAAATTCCCACTTGGGCACCCTGGACATTTTGCAGGGGCAACACTTTGTTAGCAGGTATCCCGCTGGCACGTGCTCGGAGGAGACACTACTGTGTGACCCGCATAAGTTACTCATTAGTGCAATTAAGATGTGAAATGTTAAACATTAAATGAGGTAAAGCGAGGTTATGAAATCACAAGCAGTGAGTCTGCAGAAAGGAAGGGAGAAGCAGACCTGGAACCCGTCAGAGATAGGCTATGAGGGAAACAAGCATGGGGAGGAAGGGGACAGTGAGTGCTCCCGCAGCCTGCAGCAGGAATCTGCTACCAACCAAAAAAAGGACAGTGGGATTTTCCATGCAACAGAGAGTAGATGTAACTGCCAGGGGAGAAAGCAGGTGGAGAGATTAGATATGCCTGATGCTGACAGAAAGCATGTTTGTGCCTAATACATCAGAGAAATTGTTCAGAAGTAATTCAGCCATGTGAAAATGTGACCCTTGTAATACTGCCAAGGTCAGAAAAACCTGAGGAGATCCGCTGAGTAAGTGTTGGTCCTGCAAGGAAAAGCTGTCCAGAGGCAGTGTGCTCATGTTGCCAGGGCAGCTTCCCGTCAGGGTCCCACCAGGGCAGAGGCAGGGCAGCTCCTGCTGTCTTTCTCAGTGCTTGCTGCACGCTCTGCTCACATAGAAAATTTGTGTATTGAGGTCCAAACCTGCTCAGGCTTACTTGGCTGTTGGCTCTGTAATCCCTTCCAAGCTGAGTCTAAAAATCACACTGGTCCGGAAAGGTTCATGAAACCTCTGGAAGGGAGTTGGGTTTCCTGTGGGTCTTCTTTCCGTGCTGTTTGCTTTGCCTTTTGCTCTGTTCTGAAAATAATACTGGGTAATAACTGCTTTCCTTCCTTCTTGTCAGGACCAGCTTGGGCAAGAGGAAACAGCAATTTTTCCTACCTGCCAATGCGTCTTTGCTTGGTAGAGTGCCTGTGAATTCAGGAGAGGTGCGTGAGCAGTCTGGGGCAGTCCTGGGGAGTACCAGGTGCTGGAAAGAGGGCAGATGATGTTGCAGAAACATGACAGAGAGGCAGGAATACTGTTCTTCTGAAGTTCTCTCTTATACTTCCTAAAGATTTAATGTAAAAGACCAATCCCATACCCGCTAGAAGATTTGGGCTGAAGGAAAATAATAGCCTGATGCTCTTCTCAGGCAACTGAAAATGCCTTGAGTTAGACCTCTGTCATCCCCTGGCCAGGTGAGCTGTGTGAGGGCAGGCAACTGGCCTTAGACCTGTAGCAAGGAGGTATGGGAGAGACGCTGTGGGTTGGTGCAGGCAGTTTTCACAGTGCCAGCTTGGTGCTCAGCTGCTGTCATGGTAGCATCCTTGGAGACATTTGTGGGGTGAGCAGCTCTGGAGATTGTCTGAGGCTCTGTGAAGGAGGGGAAAAAGATGAACTAGCAAAAAGTTAATTAAAACTCTTCTGATTATGAGGTGGGATTTAATACTTTAAAAAATGCAGTGTGACACAGTGCAGCACTGCAGCTGAATTAATCATGAATGAGGATAGTAATTTTTAATTTTTGTGTGCATGAGAAAAACACTCAACAGATTTGACAATTAGAGCAGGGTAACAGCATTGCATGGCACAATGTGAAGTAGTTTTTCCCAGTGGTTTTTGAGAGGGAGCTAAACAGATGTGCTCAAATATTTACAAGTGCACAATATTCACATGCTTTTCAAATGCTGACCCTGCTGATTCGCAAAAGTCTGCTTCAATCTGGAGACCAGCTACTGCGGTGACACAGGCTATTTATCATAGGTAACACAGTGGCACTACTGCCAGCTTCCAGCGTAGTAGTGTGCACAGTTACCTCCTACTCTACTGGTAACATTACACCACTTCAGCAACCCGCCTGTAACACCAAGGTGTCCCACCACAGACCTGCAGCAGTGGGTCCTGGTGGCTCAGCCATAGCCAGGGCCTGAGCTGGTAGGAGGGGTTCCTGCGCCGCACCACAGCAAAGAGTAACAGAAAGCAGTGGGATCTCTAAGGACTTGGGCTCTGTGAGAAGATTTGAGAGAAACAATTCCCTGAGGTCTGAGTCAAAACAGAGTCCAGCTCCCTCCTGGTTGGCTGTGCAAGGAGGTTAACCAGCAAACCAATCCCACCATGAAAGCAGAGGTGTAACCTGAGAAGATGAACTCAATACACAGGTGTTTCTTAAGGTTAAACTTGTTTTATAATGCTTTGCAATATAAACTTGCTAATGTAACTGTGATTTTGCTATAATTTTGCTAGATTTCAATGGAAAGATTAGATCGCATGCATACCTGTGTGCAGTATTGATACCACATGGGTCACAGAGCTGCTTTGTGTCTTTTCTGACAAGCAGCTGCCACAATGTTGAGCTTGAATACTGTAGCTCCTATTTAGTTATCTGCTCTAAACTATTTTCTGTTAAGTAATGATACATAATTTCTCTGACTTGCACACCAAAAATATTCCAGCACATCCAGGCTACTGTGTTTGTTGGGGATCATAGCGGTAAATACCTGCTTTGGTCTTGGGGAGTGGTTAGTACAAGAACGAGGAGAAAAGGCAGCATTTCAAATTCAGGACTTCTGAATTCAGCTTTGTGCTCTGCCCTAGACTCCCTGGTTGACCTTTCAGAAGTCTTGTTCTTTGGAGCACAACATTCACCACGTAAACTTTGCTGATGCCCTCTGCATGACTCATCCACCCTACCCCACACTGAGAAGGAGTCCTGTGCCACTTCTTGAGGAGTATCACTTGACTTATCTTGCCTCACTGGCATGGGTAGGTAGCCTGTTCCAGCCAGGCAGGGCTCTCCCTTGCTTTTTAGCCAGGCCCAGCCCTTCCTCCAAGTCTTCCATTCCAAATGGCCATGGTCCCTCAGCCCTGACATGGTGAGATGCCATTTTACATGTACAACTGACACTGATGTGTGCGAGTGTATCCCTTAATACCTTGTGAGCATTCCTTTGTAAGATGAAGTTCCTACAAACTCAACAAAGGAGGCAGCTGAGTAGAAGGGAGAGGCCCAGTAAGTCTCTCCTTTCCCTTCAGGTAAAGTCAGCTATACTATATTGAACCCTTGGACAACCTAAATTATTAGGTTCCACTGCTGATGAAACAGTTTGGGATTTGATATTGTTCCATGTATCAGGCAGACCGGCAGCAGGCCCAAATTTCTCCTTGTACATCCTCATGGGACTTGCATCTTTTCCAGGGTTCTCCCTTGTGCGGTTGATACAGCACAGGGCATTCTCTGCTTGTGCCATCTTCCAGGGTGGTGGAAATGCCTGATTGCTGCCTCTTTGTGTCCCATCTGACCTGCCAAAATCCAAACTGAGCAAAATGGGAGTATGGACTTGAACATCACTGCTGTTCAGGAACACTCTGAAACTGGTGCACGGAAACATTTGAACTTGCCTCCCTCGCTGAAACTCCACTTAGAGCACACACCTTCCTCTTGTCTGCCTGCTGGCTCCAGCAAGACAGTCACAACCAGCAGAACCACAGCAGATGAGGCAGAGGTCTAGAGCCGGACTGACAGGAAGGTAGATGGCAATGGGGTGAAGGGAAGGAGAGCTGGCGGTGAACAGAAAGAAGGAGAGAAGTTAATAAGATTGATTATATCCTGAATTTGTGAAGTGCAATGCAGAAATACAGTGTAGAAACTTATATGGTAGTTTAACTTTGAAATTTCTCTTTCCACTTTTATTGGGTGAAAACGTAACAAGAATATATCCAATTGAAGGTCTGCAAGGAGTCGGTGGGGGGTGGAGTAAGGTCACTGGAGCTACATCCATTCAGTTCCAGCAGAAAAAGGGACCAGAGGCACGGGTTTGAGTTCAGCCACAGCAGTAAAAATCAGAGTAGTTCAGCTGAAGTGAGACAAGGGCAGAGCAGTCCTGTAGGGGTCTAGTATTACATGTTTACACTGTGCAATTCAACAGGGTGAGCCACCAATTATCTGCATCAAAATGACCACCCAGAGGCCCAATGTATTTGGCCTCATCTGTCACTGAACTGTCCCCTGTCATGCCTCAGTTAAGAGCTGACAATGCCAGCTAAGATTATCCATATCGCCTGCAGTGCAGGGTGTTTCACCACCTCATTTTCCTCATAAGGAGCCCAAAGAAAAGTCAGGTTTGTTCAGCACAGGATGTATTTGGGGAGGATTCAGGTAGGCCAGATGGCAATGTCAGTGATGGATGGTACAGCTACCGTAGGGCTATGCCTGAATATCTGAACTGGGAGAGACGAGCTGTGCTGTACCTCTTTGAAATACTGACTATTGCAGCAGTTGCTTTACACTGTTCAATTGGCTGTGTAATTGCTTTCACAAATTAAACAAAAACAATGGTGAAAATATGTAAAACGTCACCTGAACTGAATTGTGGTTCAGATCCCCAGTGAAAATGAGTTTGGCAGCCTCCCCTCACTTCTTATCTGCTTGATTTCAGTCTGAACGCTTCTCTGCTTGTAAGCTTGAGCCAGTGTTGCAGGTCAAGTTGAGATGTGAGAGAAGCCCAGTTTATCTGGCACAAGATGGGTTAATTAGCCCCCTGTTTTCCAAGCCATCCCAGTTATCCTATGCCTTATATGCTTTTTGGTTTGCTGTGGTTGCTCTCCTGGGTTTGAAGAGCACATATGCAATGCTGCACTTTCCTCTTGAGCTCACATTTCTTTTCCTTTTGCCTTCTAAATGTGGCGGTTACTCATCTAGTGAAGGCAACCAAGGGCATGAGAAAGAGCCACCCCATACAATTGCAAATTACCAAGTCAACAGGTCCCTCCATGCTGACCCTTCCTCTACAAGCTCAATGGCACAGACAGAAGTCAAGTAAAGTGGACAACATGCCCAGCTCCTTTTTTTGCCCTTCTCTATTCCCCATGCTTCTAAGGCAGCACTTAGAGGGAGTTAGCCACCCAGGTTTCAACCAGGCACACCTGCACTTCAGTTTATTTCCACTGCACATTTGTGGAGGCATGACTTTGCTCCATTTTCTTTCTCTGCTTTTCCAGCCTGGCTGTGTTACTGGTGCAGTCACCTGGGTTTAAGAGCAGCGTACTGCTGCTGCATCTGAAGGAGATCAGTAAGAGACACCACCACGGACCTGCACGCAGTTCCTGCAGCTGCTGTGATGCTTCTCAGGAGTGGAGGTTAGTTTGTCTATGGGGAGTCTAGTAAAATCTGCTGTCTAAGCTCATTTCGAGATGTGGATTGTCCTCACATCTTGCCTTTGCCAGTGGGTAAGAGGAAGACCTCTAGCTGATGTCAGCCACTGCCTGTCCTGGAGCCACAGAATGGCTTGTTTTTCTCTTTCTTAAGTGATTTAGGTGGGAGATCTTTCTTAAAGTACTGAGTAAAAGATGGCTTTGTTTCAGCAACACTCTGGAAAGCCAAAATGCTTTTAAATGCCAGTTACTGCATATCCTGAACAAGCATGGGCAGTTGTGAGTTAGCTGACTTGGTTTTGGTTGACAGTGCCCCGTGTAAAGAAGCAAAATGAGATCTCTGCATTCACCCTGAGGAGCAGAGTGACCCGGGTGCCTGTAATACAGTCTGTACTCTCAGTGAAATTCAGGAAGCTGTGGTACCAGTGAGAATCTGGGTTGCCAAAGCTCATCACCAGGCAGCCACAGAGATGCAGTGTATCAGGCAGGCTGGAAGAGCCCATGTTTCTCATCAGATAGATATAGTAGTGCTATTAAATACTTTTTAATAGTTTACAAAATTATGATAAGATCTGCAAGGCCATTTAAAATGGATAATCTTCAAGTGGTATTAAGGATTAAAATGGGTCTGCCTTGTATGCTTTAATGGGCCCCTCACAGGCTGTTCAACGTTATCAAAAGGTGATTTTAAGAGTTTGTAATAAATATGTTCCTTTGGGGAAGATTAGGAAACAGGGCGGGATTTGCCATCCTTCTGCTACCTCTAAATTGCTGTGCTCTAACTGAATTAATTACAGTAGGTCTGTCTTGAACTCCAGAGTGCCAGCTCACTTCTGATCTATTGTTCAGTGAAGAGGTTTGTCCTTAGGGTGAAATGTTTGCTCCAAAAGCTAGGGCTACTTAGTATTTGATTATCAGCCTAGGAGAAATTAGACAAATAACGCTCTGGCTTCGTGAACACTTACATGTAGGTTTAACCTTCCCTTCCTGAAGAGTCATTTAGATTTCAAAGTACAATAAAATAAAGCGTGCCTGCAGAAATCTTACAGGGACCAGGGACTGTGAGAGCTATTTATTCTCAAAGCAAAAATGACTGGCTTCATTCAGAAAGTCTTCCTCAAGCAAACTGTGCTTATCCTATATAGTGTCCACCTTAGCTTTGCTGCAATCCCAGCCTCTGTCCATGCAACTTTCCCCTCAGAAATGAGAGAAGAAACAATTTAGTTAGGAACTTGGGACAAATGTCAAAATAAATTATTTGACCGGTGTGTCTGTGGAGGTCCCTCTTGAGCAGAAATCAGAGTATAAATTATTCCTTCTTACGGTGTTCTTGAAATTACTGGGAGATTTGCCTGTATGAGAGTAACCAGATAAAATTACTGAAAACACCTTCTCTACACATTCATTTGTCATTTCACACTCTTCCGTATTGACAAAGTTCATGTCCTTGTGCAATCAAGTTTTCAGAGTGGTACAAAACCCACAGTAATTACCCTTCTCTACAGTCGTTCTGAGGTCTCTCTCTATATATCAATTCCACTGTATGTTAGTTAAAGGAGTTAAAGTACAATTACAAAACTTTTCACATTTCATAAAATTTTGAAGGTTGAACGATTTCTTGAGGAGCCCAGCAGATAGTCTCTTGTAACACCTACTGCCAGCATCCTTCCAGCAACTGGCTTACTGCTAGTTCTAACTGATTAAAATCAACTTGAACACACTGGAATTTACTGGAAATTAACAGCATCATAGGGGGAAGTAACTTTTTTTTTGGTTTTACCAAATTTATGTGATCTCTACTGTTTCTGTGGTTGGCTTTTACCCCCTTAGACACCCAGCTGCCTGAGCTTTGTGCTCTAGAGCCAGCATTTCCATCAATTTAATTTCAATTATTCTGCTTGGTGAGATACTGAGAATCCGTTAAGATGGAGATAGCCCAAGTTTTCAAGAGTGATCTGGAGGCCTTAGTTCAGACACAGTGCCTTGGAAATCCATTATAATATTAGTACATCACCAAAGGATTTCTTATTACTGCAAGCTTCCTGCAGCAGTGTGTATGTGAACCCAGAAAACTCAAATCTTAGCTCTAGCTTTCTTGACTGAAAGGTTATTTTATGTTAATGTCGCCCAAATAGATCTTGCACATAGAATCTTCAATTTCTTGGTTTGCTTAACTATCTGATGGCAAAATAACAAGATGTAGTACAGGAAGAGAAAACATTAATGTAATAATTTGTACTAACCACACATTATGATGACATGAGAAATTGTCAACTGTATATCCAGCTCACACTGATTTTGACTAAAAAATACTGTAACTAGGGGCTAGAGACCAGAAAGTGTATTTAATTGGTCTAGTGGCCATTAGTTTGAAGGAATAAGTGAGGGAAGGGTGAAGGAGGGTCAATGGGACTGCCAACCTGCTAACCCCATGCTGTTGGTGTTCCCGGTTTACGCAACAGCAGGAACACATGGCTGGGCAATACCCCCGTCCAGCTTGGCTACCTCTGCTCCTTTGTTGTGGCTGTCTCCACATATCTAATCCCAATTTTATTCAGCCTGAAGATGCACATTTCCTAAATTTCAGATTATAGATCTTGAGTCTGTGGTTGGTGCTTAGACCCTGACTATGGGGTTAAACTCTGACTCAAGAAATTGAAGTGGGCAAATGGTCCTATTGCCTTCTGCTTTTCACACTCTTAAAGTTAATCCTGTTTTTAGACATGTTGGTGAATCAGCCTAACATCCTACTACTGCAAATGCAGAGATTTTACTTTGAGCACATGAAGAATCCTGTTGGCCTCCATGGGTCTATTCATGCTTAAGCAACTGCACCAATATTTGAAGGCTAGGACTTTTTAGATCAGAGAATAAACTGGAAAACTCTGTTGAATGCTACTTTTACTTTTACCCTATGGTACAGTGACATTTCTGTATTTTTGCCTGCATGACCACGCTGGACTACTGAAAGTATGTGTGGAATCTGGAACATTTATGGTGCAAACATCATTTCAGCATTCTCCTACACAAGAGATGATGAAACTTTCTAAGATGAGAGCCTATGTAAATATGTGGTATGCATCAGCTAGGCAAACAGATGAGGGAATGTTGTTTTTAGAAGCTCCAGATGATGGCCGTGATCCGGTAATGTGATTATTGTGAGCAGAGACATTCACCCATCTGCAGTCCAACTAATTCATCCTTCGCAGATCCCCTGCAGTACCGGGGTCTATCTGCACAGCCACCAAGGCTGTCTGTGATTTGGGGAAACTAAGCAATGCTGAAAAGGCTGAACCTGTCATGCTGAAAGGGATGAAAAAGCCCCGGCAGACCAGGAACCCTGCCATACATGATGAGACAATACTTGTTCAATTAAGCATCTTATGCCTGTGTGTATCTCTTAATATGCAAAATCCCTGGCTCACCGTTAGCCTCTGCACACACTACCTGTCTTAAAAACCCTCAGACTGAGGGGTGGCCCTTCTGCTGGGGTCCACTTCTTCCTGGGCACTGGGGGTAACTTCAGCAATTCTTTGAGTTATTTTCTTCGCAGAAAACACATGGAACAGATGGGCATAGGCCAGCATCAAGGCTGGTGCCGCAGTCACAGGAAAGGATGTGCCCTGCCCTTGTGAGATAAACCTTCCCCCACCTCACATAAAATAAACAGTTGAGCTTCCATTGCCCAAAGCTAGCTATTAACAAGCCTGTTGTTTTGCAGTAGTACGTACATGGAGAGGTAGGTAGAAATAGCACAATACCAAAGAAACTATCCTCCATAAATTATAGTGGCTTCTTCTGAATTCTTGTTAATGCTTACTTTAAACCTTGATGTCTAACTCTTCTTGAACATTCTTGTCCAGAGTAATTAATTTATACTTTGTTCTGAAAGCGTATCAGTAAACGGGCATCAATGCTGATAGCCATTTATTGCTCCAGCAGTGAGGTTAAACAGCTTGTGCTTTTAACTGCATGGTACAAAAGATATAAAACTATTTGCTTGAGATATTAATCCAGGATGACCTGATGTAAAGTGACAGTAAAAGTGGCTTTCCCAAAGATGTGAAATATATGCTCTGCTCACTACCTCCTGCTGACTCTCTGCTCCAAGTGAATAAACATTCAGCTGAATTCTCCCACCCAGGTGTGATCCAGCAATGAACTGGCAGCGCATCCTTTTGTCTGCTAATGCCAATTCTAACTCACAGGAGCAGCCTACCACCGGCT